CACATGTCTCTGAAGCCTCAACCCACATGGGAAACCAGCAAAATCACAGAACCACAGAAATGGGGAGATTGGTGTTGCAGGGTCTGAGGCTACATGGACCCTCAGAACCACACTTGGCCCAACCTGTAAAGAAGAGGTGTTTCAGATGCTATTGTTTCACGCATATAAAGCCTCTATTGCAAATCTTCTGTATGTTTACAGTAATGTGCAAGTTAGACACCTAAACTAACCAAAAGCAATTTTCTGTTGCATCATTTTAGATCCATCCAGTGAAGTTGTTCTATATAGTGAAACAGGCAAGTAATCTAAAACAACTGGTGATGGTTTGTCCAAGGTTTGGGAATCCTTGGTTTTAATGTCTTTAATTTTATATTGTTTTAGATTAAATTTTAATTGTTTTATTGTAATATGTTTTTAGAATTGTTATTTGTGAGCTGGCTTGGATCCCTTTCAGGGAGAAAGGTGGGATAGAAATCAAATAAATCAGATAAACAAAGTAGGCAGGTAGATGTCATTATTTCTTGCCTGTGCTCCTCAGGCAACCATATATAGGATGAGTGCCAGGGTTGGCACCAATCTCCTGCTGGGATTGTGGCCCTCAGTAGGTATGAAGTGGAAATCATTGGTTGATATCATGATCACAACAATGTTCAGTCTGGTTTTACCCAGGTTCATGGTTTGAGCATTAGATTATGACTCTGGAGAACAGAGTTTGACTCCAGATTATGACTCTGGAGAACAGAGTTTGACTCCCCAAAACAGAGTTTGGGTGATCTTGGGCAAGTTACATCTTCTCACTCTCAGAGGATGCCAATGGCACCCCATCCCCTGAAGAAGCTTGCCAAAACCTCTTGATAGGGTTGCCTTAGGTCATCATAAGTCAGAAATGACTTGAAGGCACACAACAATAACAAAAACTGACAGTGTTCATCTATATGACAAATGTTACAAAGTCCTATGTTTCTAATGAAACAAATTGAAGGAAAATAAGTGGGAAGTCATTCTGAAGCAGAAAAACCATTGCTTCATTCCATTTCACCTATACTACTGGATTATCCCGGGTGTTCTGCCTTGTGCATCTTCCATGTGTAAGATTATCTAGTTCTCTAATTGTGTGACAGGACTTCTGCCATATTCTACAGTGGATAGAGTACAATGGTGTGCTATGGTGACTTTAGTAATGTTCTTCTATTATATAGGAGTCATTTGTGCAGCAACTGATAATTTTGATTAAGGAGTAAAGGCACCGGTAGCTAAAGAAAAAGAAAAAAAGATTTATTGTAAGAACTTCACTAAAGCTAGGGAAGCTAGCTAAGGGTGATAATACTATTTATTTATTTATTTATTTATTTATATGCCACATTCCTCCCCAGAGGGACCCA